TGCTAACGTTGCGAAAGGGGTTAAATCAATTTCTAAACAGAGATCGAAGTCATTAGATAGTGTCGAGAAATTACTTTTGCTTTGGATAACTGAAAAACAGTGCGCTGGCGACAGCGTATCGGAAGAAATTATTTGCGAGAAAGCTAAAGGGATACATGCTGATCTCATGAAAAATCAAGCAGGAACTAGCGAGGAAAGCCAGGTGTTTAAAGCCAGCCATTTTTTTTACATGAGAACGGATTAATCATTTTTACATTACTTCTTATGGAAAAGGTTGGTTTGGTATACGTCCTATTCGATATAAGTCCAAACACCAGGAACGGATTAAGGTCGTATACCGAGGTTCCACTATAATTATTTTTCAGTTTTTAAAATAATTTAATATGTTCTGCAACCTCCAAAATCATATTAATAATGCTGTATAAGATATATATTAAAAATTACCTTTGAATTACGTAGAAATTTTCACAAATAGAAAACATTTATTAAAGTTTGCTGGGAATTGCATACAGCAACAACAACAACAACAAAATGCTTTGAATTGAGTTGAAAATAAAAAAAAAAAAAAAAATGAATCTAGCTAGATGAAACTTCTAACTTAGAAGGTAATTTTCGTTCTTTTAAATAAAACGTAATACAAAATATTATTGTAAACTTTTACAATAAGATTTTAAAAAGCGAAGATGGTCAATACGTCGAACAGTCAATTTGATTCTTATTTTAGTAATGAAAAGTGCTGCTACCAAGAATGCACTTTCCGGTTTAATTGATGTTAGTGGAATCGTCTTTAATGCATTTAAGAGAAGACAGATGTCATATGTTTTTTCACTTGTAGCCTTGAAGATTTCGACTTCGTTTTCGAGGTTGTAGTACTTCTTTTGCTGCCTAGTATTCTTGATTTATCTACCTCGGCTGCTTTAATAGCTGCATTAAGCTTATAGCCCGATAATTCGGCAATTCATTTGGTCTTAATAATCAGGTTTATGAAGAAAAACTTCATACTTGCAAACTTCGTACTCGTTTGTATCCTTGCCCAATTTGCACAACTGGCGTTATCGAATCTACCGGGCATGGTTAAAAATTAAGACAGCGTAAGAACAATTGTTCCAGATATTACAGGTTCTGACAAGTAAAGAATTTTCAGAGTCCTGCCACAAATAAGCTACGTACTGATTTTGACCATTTGTGACATGCCATAACGAACAAAAATTAAAAATCTAATAAGTAGGTTTAAAATTAATAAATACAAATGTATTCTGACAGTTTGTGAGTTAATTATGCTTTCTATTGCAAAATTTCCTCAACCTTAACACAAAATAAGAAAAAAGTGAATTTTTAAGAAATTTGCGGGATTTCCCGGGATGAGAAGAATTTCCCGGGTTAAAAAAACAACCGGGATCCCCTTTGAGAAACCCTATTCTCAAATAGATTCGTGTTCTTTTTCTACTCAAGTTTTTGAATATCAGTGATATATTCAATGAAACATGAAAATTATTATTACTGTTTTAATTCATTTAGCGCATTGTTTTAATTATAATTTCTTAAAATATATTAAAAATTTCTCAGATTTTCTCATTCATTAGGCCTATATTCTATCAATAAAGCAACAACGTTCACAGTATTTTTTCCAAAATTGCACATACATTGAAATTATTTCATTAAATTTTTATATAAATTATAGTATTATGAAGTTAAAAAATAGCATTATTATTTACATAATACTTCATATATGTGCTAAAATTTATAGAATAAACTTATATAAATAATTTACTTATATTTCAATTGCTTTTTTTTTAGTTAATTGTTTTGGCTCTCAGTGTATTGTTGGTGTCTGCTGGAAAGTGAGTTGAAAATTTTAAATCTAAAATAAGTTCTTTTAAGTTAGAAAATAGAATATTTCTTGAAAATTGTTTATTAATAATAATATTCTTTTACAATAATAAGATTTAATTTTATATTACAATAAGTTATCAATTTTAGACTTGTACTTGTGGCTGTCTCTGCTTCCCTGGCTTCGGTGGCTCTGAATGTGATCAATATATTGGAGCTTGTACAGAAAAGGCTCAGAAATTTTGCAAGCCATTTTTATGCTTGGACGATCCTAGAAAAACATTAAATTTTTCATGTGCTTGTCCGGAAGGATGGATGTACTCGACAGGTAATTATTATTACAATTTCTTTCTAAACAATATTTACACTTCAATAGAAAGAAATACTGAAAGCTGATGCAGTAATATATGAATAAATTAGTTTCTGAAACTTCATACCAATTACACTTTAAATTAGAAAATTTGTATTAACAAATAATTTTTTAATTTACTTTATATTATAGATCCCGATGATTCTGATTGTTATGATATAGATGAATGTGTATCTGAGACCAATCCAGTCTGTGGTACTCAACAATGCATTAATACTCAAGGAAGTTATATTTGTGCAGATGGTATATATATATATAATTTATTTGTTTGCTTTATAGTATCGTTATTTATACTTTTCTATTAAAATGTTAGTAAATCAGCGGCGTCTGCAGACTAAGAAAAGGGGGGAGCACAAACTATAAAAAATGGCATCGTACATTATGCAAGGAGCTTTAAACTCTATGATTCAATGTCGGATTACAGCTTCGATAAGGTGGCGCTGGTTCTAACTTGGCCTTGAAAACGAGGAATGGGGTTTTGGTCAATATACGACGAAGTTGCATGGGTCAATGGACAAATATCCTTCATTAGTTTCTTTCATATTTGCAGAATGGGTAGATAGAAGTCACGAATTTTCCGTTGTTTGAAACCCTCTTGGGGAATTACGAAAAGGACAACCGCGAAGAAAAGGGGACACGTGGCCCGAAGTGCCTCAATGTACGGGTTTCTTGCTAATCCGGCCCCGCCATTATCCTCTTACCCTCCTGTGTGATCGCCTGTGAAAATTTTGATTATGTCACACATTCATTTTCTTGTTTACTTGGTTATTTCTTCGCAGAGTATGCCATTTCAGCCTGCCGCCTATTTGACTTCAAAAAGAATCAATACCGAAGGGCAACAGGTCACATCATTCATTGCCTTCAGGTCTATACTCTCAGTTTTCTCTAATCTGGCACTCCTTTGTGCAAGGAATGGCCGGATTAACGAAATCCATTGTATTTATATTAAAGATCTTGAATTTCATTACATACATGTAGAACTATTTGTAACTCTGCTTCTGTAGTTTTAAGCACATAATACAATATTCAGATGTCTTATAATTAATGCAAAGTTAAACATAATTCACAAATAAGTCATCCATAGATTCACGTGACATGTCAATTGTCTGTTGATCCGGATTTGAATTTCGTTTTAGACTCATAATTTATATTCGATAGTTATTTTTTGAACATCATTCGCATCTCTCATGTTGCTTGATCCTATTGAGGATCGGGCACGCCCGAATTAAGATAGCTAGCCATATAGGTCTACAGTAGCTTTAATACGCTAGTGCTTCGAGTTAACTAATCAATTAATCAAACAAACCGTAGATTATATTTTAACACCAAAACAATTAAACGGCCGGATGACCGAGCGGTCAATGTGGCAGCTTATCGCTCTGGGGGAGCAGGGATCTAATCCGGACAAGGTCGAAAAATCCCCAGGAATTTTTCGAAGGTTGATCCGTCCAGATATGTCGGGTCCCGTCCCTCAGCATCCGGCTGCCCCATTGTGGGCCAGACCTAGAAAGATACCCCTCTTAGTACCCACTGGGCGGAAAGAGTTTAAAAAAACAAGTGTTCTTTATTAAGAATTCCAATAAATAATTAATGACTGACAGATATGAGACCCCAACGTATTAAAACCAGTTGGACAGTAAATACTGTTGGAATTAAATCTCTAAAGACCCAAACACACTACAGTTGGAGTAGTGTGAAGCTGCGCTAACAGAGATTAAGGAATTCTGCTACGTTCGTTTTTTTATTTTTGAAATTTAACCTATTTAGCACATAATCCACTACTCTAGTCCATTATTTTTTTATTTAAAAATATATAATTTAACAATAATTTATTTTTTAGGCAAACTATTTAACATTTTTGTTGTTNCAGCATTATTAATATGATTTTGGAGGTTACAGAACTTTAAAATTACTTTAAAAAATGGAAAATAATTATATCATTTGATTTCAAGATATTTTGTATACCTTAAAAATAATTAATTCTATCCCGGGATTTCCCGGGATCCCGGCACAAACAAAAGACCGGGAAATGAGAAACCCTAGTTCGAACCTAATCTAGAAACCAGAATACGTGACGTAATAGTTTAAGTCGAGTGCGACATCTATTGAAACTATTCTAATACTCGTGTTGCCGAGATTCGGAAGTGCCGCCTTACGGTTTACTTAACTACACATCAACCAAAATGATTATTGCTGTTATTAAAAGTACAATGTAACTTTATAAGATTTATTCTGTTAATAAAGAAACAGTCTAGAAATGGTTTTTATAACTCATTATAACCGATCGTGATTCGTCACGATATTTTAATATTTTAAATAAAAATTAATTTTTTACGAACATTCTAAGGAATTAATACAGTATATGATAAAAATTTATTATTTTTTAAATTTTTATTTGTAATACACAAATAATTAATTTATTATATATTCCACGCCAAATTTTGAAGATTTTTTAAAATATATAAATTTATAAAGTTTGCTATCAGTGTGATAAAATATATTTACAAAATTCCTCAATTTATTTTAAAAGTTTTACTATTTATCAAAAGTAATTGAATCCAATTTGTTAACGGTTAATAATAATCGAAGTCAAGTGATTTGTTAGAAGTCACGTGTAAAAGACACCAAATGTGCACAGTAACGCCACCCTTGGCAGAAAGATGCTTATTATCTGGCTTAGGAAAAATGTCACGATTGAAATTACCATTAGGTGAACAAGGAGTGAACCATGTTGGTGTTGTACGATTATTTTAGGAGTCGTACGATGCCTGTACGATAATTTTAGAAATACGCGTCTGACTCTCAAAATAAACATTGCAAATTAAAGTTTTTGAATAGTTAATCAACATTTCTTTACTGTACGTATCGCCTTCTCATTGATATTTCGTATCTTTTTTCTCCGTTAGAGGGCTACTAAATTTTCGGAAGTTTTTGCTTAGATACTATTGTGCATTCTCTATTATATGGCACACGTTTTTCATATTTTGAATCTTCTAACTGCTATACTTTTAGACCGACTGATAAAATGTTCAAATTGATGTCCAAAGAAAATTTGTACAAATAAACGTTCTGTTGAAATGCCATTATACATTTTATTACGTAGTAGTTTCCATCTAAAAAGTTGTCTAGGACTGAGCCTTTTTTTGACATAAATCAGCGTTTCTTAAACTAAGAAGTCGCAAGCACTTGAGGGGTTGACTAAAAATTTTAGACGATGGCAAAAATTTGGAAAAACTGAGATTTATACATATGAAAAAAGTATAGTATATTTAAAAAAGTGTTACATGTTAAGTAATAATTATTTGTTAAAGTTTGATATGTTAAAATTGAAAAAAAAGATAATAAATTTTAAATTACGCCATTTAGAGATTTGTTTTGCACCATATATTATAAGAGAAAGTCGTAAAAAATTCTTCATTGTAAATGGGGTTTAAAAAATTTTTTGTTCAATTAATTGAAGACGCAGACTTTCCAAAAAAAATTTTTTGATAGACACCATTTATTCACTTCACGTGTTCCAGAACAAACTTTTTGACGACCTGGCCTTCTTTTTTAGGCTACTTGGCCATCAAGTTTACAAACGTTCCTTTAAAAAACACAGAAAAATATCTAATTAAAATTATAAAATTTTAACTTAAGAGTTAGTTCATGGGTCTTACAGCCATTGTTAACGTTCTTCATCCTTTCCATTTAGGGATTTTCGGGTCTTTATATCTACTGGAGAAATGCACTGATAGATTTTTTTTAGACCCACCATACTCAACGTTTTTTTCTATCGGGCCACATACACATGATAGCTATTACACGCGGGCCGCAACATAACAATTATAATAAAAAACTTACTTAATTTCTCACTTACCCTAGAAATTTAGTGTGCCTGTTGATATTGCGAACTTTTTCTCACAATTTCATTTAAATCTTTTTTTTAATACTCTTTCCGCCCTGTGGGCACTAAGTGGGCCTCTTATAGCAGGCCAATAGCAGGCACCATTATAGCAGGCCTCTTATAGCAGGCACCGTTGTGGACCTGGGTTCGGCCAGGCCCACAATGGTGCGACCGGGTGGTGAGGGACGGGACCCGACATATCCGAACGGACCACTCCCCGAAAAATTCCTGGAGGATTCCCTGACTCGACCAGATTCGATCCAGAGCGGTAGGCTGCCATCTTGACCGCTCGGCTGTCAATTCATTTAAATCAGGTTTGTAACTGCTGCTTGCCACTCATAAAACGGCATCCAAGTGTGAACCAGTAAGCCAGTTTCTATATATGTTCTTTGCATATTTAATTTTTGAGTATGACGTTTCACATAGATACGTTGATGCGAACAACGTAAGTAAAATTTTAGCACATTTTTTAGTCTTATATTGATCGGGCACTATTTTCTAGAAGTGGTAATTATTTCCAGAAGTGAACGTAATTATTTTCCGCTCTCTTTCAAGTCAGGGCCACTCACAAAAGCTCACCGGGCCGCAGGTTGAGTATGGTGGTTTTTTTGGACAGTCTGTAACTTCAATAAATTCAAAAAATATCATCCGACGAAATTCCAAAATTTTTTTGTTGTAAGAGGGGATCTTGGAAAAAAATTCTAGGGGAACCTAGTTAATACTTCTATAGATAGAGGCGTAAGTGTAACGGATCGCGATAGCTGTACGATAATTTTAAATTTGTTTAGTTAAATTATGGCAACCAACACTTGAGCGATCTGTCTATGGGAACGGGAACGCCTTCCAGGAAGTCTTTTAAGGATAACTGGTTCCTATTCAGGCGTTACAGACGTGGAGAAAACTCAGAAACTTCATGTGGCCAGCTCGTCCTGGCGAGGCGCGAACCCACGACCGAACTCCCAGTGTTCAAGAAAAGGAACCGCTTGGCTACTGGTGGCCATAATTTTAAATGAAATACAATGATTTCAAGGGACAAATACAATAATTTTCTTATGTAAGATTGGCAACTCTGAAATGATCGCTCCAGACATACTTACTCTAAGTAGTCAATAGCTCCGGAACTGTTGAGTCTGCTGAATGCAGTCATTGTGTTTCGAGTCATTCAAATTATGCACATATGTACGATATACCTGATTATTCACAAAATCTTACAGGAAAAACTTCAGTTGGATAAGAACCAATCTACCATCTGGTCAACTTCATTCAGAAACTGTTTTAAAACGGGTAGGAACCACATCTTATTGAAAACTGGTTCCAGGAGGAAGTTAAGGGATAGTGTAAGTCGCAGCGTGTCCAAATAACTTCCTCCAGTCACCGTGGTCTATCATCTGGTTCATCGTTAACGTACACGTATTTTGCCGTTCCGCTCATGTGCCAATAACAGCAGCAACAAGATATGGTGTTTCGCGCAAATGGCCACAAGTGTCAACATAAAACACACATCGAATTTAAGTTTGATACAAAAATAATGCAAGTTATAAATTTTTTTTATTAAACCTCTAAGCCGGACATCTCGTATTTTTGAAATATTCAATATTAATTAATATATTTCTGTAATTGTAATAACCTGGAACAAATTATAGTCACAAAACGAAAATAAATAAAATATTTCATTTGATTTCATTTTCATTGTAATAATCGATATCAGTTTTCACCTTCGACAATTTCAAAAATTCAAATAATTCGAACACATACGCTTTATAATTATTCCATAAATGCAAGTACAGTAATAGAAATGTTTCAAGTAATTTTAGTTTTTGCTTCGGTAAAAATTATATTTGGTCTATCTAAAGTTGGATTTATGCCTCTGAAGGCTAAGTATTCAACACCTGACGAAGCATTTGCTTATTATTATGATCAAAATCAACCAAACTGTAAGATTTTATTTTGTAATTTCTGTGTTATTAGAACTAGCTGTTAATATGTTAATTGGTATAAAGAGACATTGAGTCTTATTCGCCATTTGTCTTTTTATAATTAATAATTTTTTTTAAATATACGATGCAATTCTGCATCGTATATTTAAAAATTATACGATGCAAATTATATAATTTTATGGGATTGTTTATACAGAGCAAACAAAGCTGAAATGCAGGATAATCTCTATTGTTTGACTCACGCTTGCATCGCGTTATGATGAGCCGTGTATGGTCATTTAAAACTTCTGCACAGTTGTTTTTATAGTTTAGAGAGCTGTTTTGGATTATCCGTGTTTTCCGGTTTTCTGCGCACACTCGTGCACATTAGTACCGATAATCGGAAGTTCGGTATACTCATAAAAAATACAAATCTGAATCAAATGACCAGATGGAATAGATAAGTATAAAAATATAATCAATAATTAAATAACTTTTGTGTGTTAAATTAATACTTCTCAAATAGGATTTTTCATTTCCCAGTCTTTTGCTTGTCCCCTGATTCCGGGATAAAAGTGAATTGTTTCCCGGGATCCGGGAAATCCCGGGGCAGAATTAATTATTTTTAAGATACACAAAATATCATGAAATCAAATGATATACAGTGGAACCTCGGTATACGTCTGCTTTAGAATACGTCCAATTCAGAATACGTCCTGTTTGGACGAAACAAATTTTGCTCGGTATACGACTTAATTCAATTATAAGCGCCATCTATAAACAAGTAGTACTATCGGTGTACTACACCAGATTAGACGTTCGCGGTGCCACGGTTTATAACTTTGTTAAATTTCTTCTGATTTTAATTTGTAAGTAACATTTTATTATTTTTATTAATCATGAATTGCAAAAAGGCAACAGAAAAATAAAAAAATGACAATGGAACTGAAAAAAGAGATTGTTGAGAAATATGAAGGTGGCACGCGTGTTCGAGATTTAACTGTTGCATTCCGTATTCCGAGAACGACGATATCGACAATCGTGAAAAATAAAGACATTATTAAATCTGCTAACGTTGCGAAAGGGGTTAAATCAATTTCTAAACAGAGATCGAAGACATTAGATCGTGTCGAGAAATTGCTTTTGCTTTGGATAACTGAAAAACAGTGTGCTGGCGACAGCGTATCGGAAGAAATTATTTGCGAGAAAGTTAAAAGGATACATGCTGATCTCATGAAAAATCAAGCAGAAACTAGCGAGGAAAGCGAGGTGTTTAAAGCCAGCCATTTTTTTTACATGAGAACGGATTAATCATTTTTACATTACTTCTTATGGAAAAGGTTGGTTTGGTATACGTCCTATTCGGTATAAGTCCAAACACCAGGAACGGATTAAGGTCGTATACCGAGGTTCCACTATAATTATTTTTCAGTTTTTAAAATAATTTAATATGTTCTGCAACCTCCAAAATCATATTAATAATGCTGTATAAGATATATATTAAAAATTACCTTTGAATTACGTAGAAATTTTCACAAATAGAAAACATTTATTAAAGTTTGCTGGGAATTGCATACAGCAACAACAACAACAACAAAATGCTTTGAATTGAGTTGAAAATAAAAAAAAAAAAAAAAATGAATCTAGCTAGATGAAACTTCTAACTTAGAAGGTAATTTTCGTTCTTTTAAATAAAACGTAATACAAAATATTATTGTAAACTTTTACAATAAGATTTTAAAAAGCGAAGATGGTCAATACGTCGAACAGTCAATTTGATTCTTATTTTAGTAATGAAAAGTGCTGCTACCAAGAATGCACTTTCCGGTTTAATTGATGTTAGTGGAATCGTCTTTAATGCATTTAAGAGAAGACAGATGTCATATGTTTTTTCACTTGTAGCCTTGAAGATTTCGACTTCGTTTTCGAGGTTGTAGTACTTCTTTTGCTGCCTAGTATTCTTGATTTATCTACCTCGGCTGCTTTAATAGCTGCATTAAGCTTATAGCCCGATAATTCGGCAATTCATTTGGTCTTAATAATCAGGTTTATGAAGAAAAACTTCATACTTGCAAACTTCGTACTCGTTTGTATCCTTGCCCAATTTGCACAACTGGCGTTATCGAATCTACCGGGCATGGTTAAAAATTAAGACAGCGTAAGAACAATTGTTCCAGATATTACAGGTTCTGACAAGTAAAGAATTTTCAGAGTCCTGCCACAAATAAGCTACGTACTGATTTTGACCATTTGTGACATGCCATAACGAACAAAAATTAAAAATCTAATAAGTAGGTTTAAAATTAATAAATACAAATGTATTCTGACAGTTTGTGAGTTAATTATGCTTTCTATTGCAAAATTTCCTCAACCTTAACACAAAATAAGAAAAAAGTGAATTTTTAAGAAATTTGCGGGATTTCCCGGGATGAGAAGAATTTCCCGGGTTAAAAAAACAACCGGGATCCCCTTTGAGAAACCCTATTCTCAAATAGATTCGTGTTCTTTTTCTACTCAAGTTTTTGAATATCAGTGATATATTCAATGAAACATGAAAATTATTATTACTGTTTTAATTCATTTAGCGCATTGTTTTAATTATAATTTCTTAAAATATATTAAAAATTTCTCAGATTTTCTCATTCATTAGGCCTATATTCTATCAATAAAGCAACAACGTTCACAGTATTTTTTCCAAAATTGCACATACATTGAAATTATTTCATTAAATTTTTATATAAATTATAGTATTATGAAGTTAAAAAATAGCATTATTATTTACATAATACTTCATATATGTGCTAAAATTTATAGAATAAACTTATATAAATAATTTACTTATATTTCAATTGCTTTTTTTTTAGTTAATTGTTTTGGCTCTCAGTGTATTGTTGGTGTCTGCTGGAAAGTGAGTTGAAAATTTTAAATCTAAAATAAGTTCTTTTAAGTTAGAAAATAGAATATTTCTTGAAAATTGTTTATTAATAATAATATTCTTTTACAATAATAAGATTTAATTTTATATTACAATAAGTTATCAATTTTAGACTTGTACTTGTGGCTGTCTCTGCTTCCCTGGCTTCGGTGGCTCTGAATGTGATCAATATATTGGAGCTTGTACAGAAAAGGCTCAGAAATTTTGCAAGCCATTTTTATGCTTGGACGATCCTAGAAAAACATTAAATTTTTCATGTGCTTGTCCGGAAGGATGGATGTACTCGACAGGTAATTATTATTACAATTTCTTTCTAAACAATATTTACACTTCAATAGAAAGAAATACTGAAAGCTGATGCAGTAATATATGAATAAATTAGTTTCTGAAACTTCATACCAATTACACTTTAAATTAGAAAATTTGTATTAACAAATAATTTTTTAATTTACTTTATATTATAGATCCCGATGATTCTGATTGTTATGATATAGATGAATGTGTATCTGAGACCAATCCAGTCTGTGGTACTCAACAATGCATTAATACTCAAGGAAGTTATATTTGTGCAGATGGTATATATATATATAATTTATTTGTTTGCTTTATAGTATCGTTATTTATACTTTTCTATTAAAATGTTAGTAAATCAGCGGCGTCTGCAGACTAAGAAAAGGGGGGAGCACAAACTATAAAAAATGGCATCGTACATTATGCAAGGAGCTTTAAACTCTATGATTCAATGTCGGATTACAGCTTCGATAAGGTGGCGCTGGTTCTAACTTGGCCTTGAAAACGAGGAATGGGGTTTTGGTCAATATACGACGAAGTTGCATGGGTCAATGGACAAATATCCTTCATTAGTTTCTTTCATATTTGCAGAATGGGTAGATAGAAGTCACGAATTTTCCGTTGTTTGAAACCCTCTTGGGGAATTACGAAAAGGACAACCGCGAAGAAAAGGGGACACGTGGCCCGAAGTGCCTCAATGTACGGGTTTCTTGCTAATCCGGCCCCGCAATTATCCTCTTACCCTCCTGTGTGATCGCCTGTGAAAATTTTGATTATGTCACACATTCATTTTCTTGTTTACTTGGTTATTTCTTCGCAGAGTATGCCATTTCAGCCTGCCGCCTATTTGACTTCAAAAAGAATCAATACCGAAGGGCAACAGGTCACATCATTCATTGCCTTCAGGTCTATACTCTCAGTTTTCTCTAATCTGGCACTCCTTTGTGCAAGGAATGGCCGGATTAACGAAATCCATTGTATTTATATTAAAGATCTTGAATTTCATTACATACATGTAGAACTATTTGTAACTCTGCTTCTGTAGTTTTAAGCACATAATACAATATTCAGATGTCTTATAATTAATGCAAAGTTAAACATAATTCACAAATAAGTCATCCATAGATTCACGTGACATGTCAATTGTCTGTTGATCCGGATTTGAATTTCGTTTTAGACTCATAATTTATATTCGATAGTTATTTTTTGAACATCATTCGCATCTCTCATGTTGCTTGATCCTATTGAGGATCGGGCACGCCCGAATTAAGATAGCTAGCCATATAGGTCTACAGTAGCTTTAATACGCTAGTGCTTCGAGTTAACTAATCAATTAATCAAACAAACCGTAGATTATATTTTAACACCAAAACAATTAAACGGCCGGATGACCGAGCGGTCAATGTGGCAGCTTATCGCTCTGGGGGAGCAGGGATCTAATCCGGACAAGGTCGAAAAATCCCCAGGAATTTTTCGAAGGTTGATCCGTCCAGATATGTCGGGTCCCGTCCCTCAGCATCCGGCTGCCCCATTGTGGGCCAGACCTAGAAAGAGACCCCTCTTAGTACCCACTGGGCGGAAAGAGTTTAAAAAAACAAGTGTTCTTTATTAAGAATTCCAATAAATAATTAATGACTGACAGATATGAGACCCCAACGTATTAAAACCAGTTGGACAGTAAATACTGTTGGAATTAAATCTCTAAAGACCCAAACACACTACAGTTGGAGTAGTGTGAAGCTGCGCTAACAGAGATTAAGGAATTCTGCTACGTTCGTTTTTTTATTTTTGAAATTTAACCTATTTAGCACATAATCCACTACTCTAGTCCATTATTTTTTTATTTAAAAATATATAATTTAACAATAATTTATTTTTTAGGCAAACTATTTAACATTTTTGTTGTTTAACCTGCAAAATGAAAAGAAATAAATAATGCAAAACAGTGTACTGTATTAAATAAATCTCTAAAGACCCAATTTTAGTGGAAGGAATTATTTTCCATAGTGGGAACATAAGTTTTTATTTTCCTTCAATCCTTTCAGAGACTTACCCCATGAACTTCTTTTTATCTTTATCTTATTTATCTTATGAGCTCATAAGTTAAGTAATTATAAGGAACTTTAGGAATTAATATATGGGATCGTCATAAGTTATGTAATGCTATTTTTATACTTTTCAAATACTACTCCATCTTCTGAACGGTTCATAACGCGTCGCACTTACCCACTCTCAAAATTATGTAACGTTTAGATCAACCTCCTTAATTGTATACAAAGGAATAACACAAAGCATTGAATACGTACAAAACAGTGATGATTCCGTATGCAGTGGCGTATCGTAGTGGGGGAGGCAGGGGCAGCCCGCCCCGGGCGGTACTTTTTAGAGGGCGACAAAATTTCACAATAAATAATTATAATATCTTGTAAAAATTTGAAACATCCTAATCTATACTTGCATCGTGCCTACGATAGTGCTATCGTCCGGATAGTCCGGGAATCAGTTCGCCGGGTGAACTAGTAACTTTTTCGTCCGAGGAGTTCCTGCGAAACCTGTTGACTTTTTTTTTTTGCTTGTACGATTCATTCGAGTTCATATACACCACTAATATCCAATAGTACTATTTTAAACAGATCGCTGCATTACCACCGAATTTTTCATTGCTTGTTCTGTGACAAAACTGAATTTTGGTCTTTTAAATTGAAATACCTAAATAAGGGAGGACGAAATTTTCCTCCGCCCCGGGCGGCTGACACCCACGGTACGCCACTGTCAGTATGCAACTCTTCTGAAACAAAAATGAATCACTACAGATGAAACTTATTCTGATTGAATATGTGCGCTATTTTTGATGCTTTTTCCTTGCCCATCTCTACTCATAAATATTAATCATCTATTTAAATTGTAAATGTAAATAACCGATTAATGCATACTTTAGGGAGGAGTAAATATGAATTCTACATATATTATAAAAATGTTATATTTTTAACTTTTATTGAATTGCATATACAGCATTGTAAACAAATTATTTTATTTAGTACCCGCTGGGCCACCTGAATATAATCCCGACATACCTTCAACTGTACCTTCTGGTTCATATACGCCCGTCGATCCTGATTTTAAAATAGGTAGGAAATTTTTATGCACATATACAATACGTCAAACACATATTTGCAACTTACTGATTTTATAATCTTTACAGCGGACATGACTTACATAGAAAAACAACTCATTCCCTATAAGAAATATTTTTCAGCAAAAGAGATGAAACAAATTCGGAGAGATCATTTTGAAATAGCTGCTGTTTATTTTTATAAATATCCACTTGCCTATCAACTTTATATGAAACGTCCAATCGATAACAAAAGAGCTCAAACTTACGTTACAATCGAGCATTAACTTTATATATTTATCAAAAATTTTAAATGTAATAAATTCATTAATTTATGCTTTACGTATATGTATGTACACGAAAAGTTACAACAAATATAATATATATGCAAGTAAATTATCAAGTAAATATACAAATATATTGGTTTAATATATCATGAGTAATTCGATTTGGAATAAAATATACAGCACTTACTTGATTTCAGTTTACCAGTTCTTTCGAATCTCACTTTTTTTCCTTTTTAATCCAACTACAGTCGATCTCCCTATAAGACGGTTGATACGTTCCGTTCTTTATGAATCAATTTTGTAGGAATCACAGCCAATCACAGCCTGACACGTGTGAAGTTTACGGACTACGGCTGTTTGAAAGGTTTTCTTCCATAAAATTAATCGATTCTAGACTAATTCGACTCAGCATTTCCAAAATACGTATATTTTTGGGGGGAATAATCCGTATAAACTATGCTATAAACAAAAAATTGTAGGATTACTTACCGAGTGTGCACNCTATTCGATATAAGTCCAAACACCAGGAACGGATTAAGGTCGTATACCGAGGTTCCACTATAATTATTTTTCAGTTTTTAAAATAATTTAATATGTTCTGCAACCTCCAAAATCATATTAATAATGCTGTATAAGATATATATTAAAAATTACCTTTGAATTACGTAGAAATTTTCACAAATAGAAAACATTTATTAAAGTTTGCTGGGAATTGCATACAGCAACAACAACAACAACAAAATGCTTTGAATTGAGTTGAAAATAAAAAAAAAAAAAAAAATGAATCTAGCTAGATGAAACTTCTAACTTAGAAGGTAATTTTCGTTCTTTTAAATAAAACGTAATACAAAATATTATTGTAAACTTTTACAATAAGATTTTAAAAAGCGAAGATGGTCAATACGTCGAACAGTCAATTTGATTCTTATTTTAGTAATGAAAAGTGCTGCTACCAAGAATGCACTTTCCGGTTTAATTGATGTTAGTGGAATCGTCTTTAATGCATTTAAGAGAAGACAGATGTCATATGTTTTTTCACTTGTAGCCTTGAAGATTTCGACTTCGTTTTCGAGGTTGTAGTACTTCTTTTGCTGCCTAGTATTCTTGATTTATCTACCTCGGCTGCTTTAATAGCTGCATTAAGCTTATAGCCCGATAATTCNCTTATTTCTACTTAAGAAGTAGTTAAATAATTAAGCGATTAGGGAATTGGGGACGTAAACAAAACCCTGACGAAAGAGCCGGAATATTACTTAAACAAAAGCCTAACCGGGCCAATATCTAGCCGAGTACAGTGGGACTGATTTCTTCGTAATATTAGATGTAATAAAGAAAGGAATTTTTCCAGTTCAATGAAAGTGACTAAAAGTTGTAAATTTTGGAAATTTCTGTGGACACCTGGTCTTAAAACGAATTGCAGTAGTTAGAAAACAAATGACTTTTAAGTTTAACAAATTTAGATTTTTACAGCTATGATGAGAAACGTTTAAAATTTGCAACAACCCTGTCGCGTCCTTTGAGATATACTAGTGATGAGACAAAAGAGACATTAACCGGTATCGGCACCCTCGGGATTTGGCAAGCATGCACCGCACCGCACACCTACCCAGACCGTCTCTGATTCCATCCACTAGCCACTGGTAGGGAGCAATTTTAACTAGGTGGATTGTTTTAATATTTAAAAAGTAAAGACTATTTTATGTTATTTTTATGTACGTTTCTTCACAAAACTATATTTATAATTTTCTTTAAAAGTATATTCATACAATTGAATATTTTGTACC